ATAATCGTTCCCTGGGAAAGCTTGTCGTTCTGCTTGAGAGGTCCCGACAGTCTGGGTGCGAAAGGGCCGGTGATACACCCCTGGACGGCTCCACCGTGGGGTGCCCTAATGCGATGCCTGCTGCATCGCGGCGATCACGAAGAGGCGAGGAGAGACTCGCCCACTGGGCCAAGCCAGGCGCCCTACATGAGAGATGTGTGTGCTACACCCCTGGTCGGTACGCCCTGGGTAGTCCCATGTGCGATGCCTGCTACATCGCGGTGACCATGGCACTATGGGGCTCCGAGGAGAGACATGTCCACTGGGCCACAACGACGACGTGTCTGAGAGGTCCCGACATCCTTGACGCGAACGGGCCCAGAATATACCCCTGCTTGGCCCTGCTTTGGACGGCCATATGCGATGCCTGCTACATCGCGGTGAACATGCGATCATGCGGCTCTGATAAAAGACACGCCCACTGGGCCGCAACGGGCGTTCTTCATGAGAGGTCCCGAAACTTTGGGCGAAAACGTGCCCGTGATACACCCCTGGCCAGTCTCCAATTTGGAGATCAACGTGCGATGCCTGCCACATTGCGCTGATCATGAGGCTCTGGGAAGAGACTCGTCCACTGGGCCAATCCAGGCTTTCTGCCTGAGAGATCCACAGAAATTGGGCGCGAAGGGGTCAGTGATACACCCCTGGTCGAACCCCCCGTGGGACGCCCGGGTGGGATGCCTGGTACATCGCGGTGATCATGAGGGGCCCTGGGAAGAAACACGTTCACTGGGTAAAAACGAGGTCCCGACAATCTGGGCGTGAACGGGCCAGTGACACACCCCGTGCTGGCTATCCCCTGAAGGACCAAGTGCGATGCCTGCTGCATCGCGGTCAGTCTGAGTGCACATGAGTCTGAATATTAGCGCGTCTCAGTGCAAGTGAATTTGAGTACGATTCCGAGCGTGAGCAAGTCGGAGTATGAGTGAGTCAGAGTCTGCGTATGCTGGGTGTGAGTGAGGATGAATGTGAGTTCGAGTGTGTTTGAATGTGACCACCTCAGAATACGAGACTACGTGTTAGCGAGTCGGAGTATGAGTGAGTCTGCGTCTGCATATTCTGGACGATTCTGAAAACAGACTGAGTTTGAGCGTGCGGAGAATGAGTGTGAGAACCGGAGTTTCAAGTGAATATGAGCCTGAGTGAGTCTGAGCGTGATTGAACGTGATTCAGTCTTCATCGCGAATGGGTCTAGCGCGCCGAGCAGATCCAGACACCAGAAGCCTTGCAAGGTACCACGGGCGAAGGAACGCGTTTCTTACGATTCGCGATAACAATCCTTACCGGGGATGCTCCCCCACTGCCCCCCTCCACCTGGTAATTTCACCGTTCGCGCCAGCGCCGTCTGGGAAAGGCTAGGGGCAACTAATTCCCAGACGGCGCCAGCGCGAATCGTGTCGTTTTTGGCCCCCCCCGCCCCTCCCCCCGTAACGGCCGTTACAGTCAACTCGTATCACAAGGACGCACAATGAGGATGCAAGTGCCCTGGGAGGCCATGCCAACAGTTTGCATCGAAGGGGGCGCAGCCAGCGAGAGCGGCCCCGGATGGGCCAACAGGGAAGGATGCAAGGGCAACCTTGGAAAGCCGCTCATCCTACCTATGCGGGTTGACTGCATCAGCAAAGGATCAAAAGAAAACGTTCGGTGGCAACTCATGGGAGCCTCCCATACCATCTTGTCGGCTCTTGCGAATCGACGCTGGTCGACGCTAAATCGACGCTAAATCGACGCTGGTCGACGCTAGCCGAAGCTACATCGGCGCTATCTCATCGACTCCCAGACGCTAAATCGACGCTAGTCGACGCTGAAGACAAGCAAATACGAAGGCACACGAGGCTCCCACAACCTGCCACCGAAAAAAATCGTCCCAAGCAAGGACCGAAAAGTCGCCTCCGACTGCGAGCCTCGCGGGCCTGCGGCTGCACCGACTGGGGCAAGGCGCGCATTTTTTTCCGGCGAGGCGCGGAGAAGAGTGAGGGCCCAACTTTCCACCACCACTCCCACAGGCAGGACGGGGGAGAATAGAGGATGAGGAGGTCCTCGGTCCTCCTCCTCCTCCTCCTCCTCCTCCTCCTCCTCCTCCTCCTCCTCCCTCCCCTACCTGTGGCAGTAATGCTGGGAAGTGGGCCCATGAAGAGCGGGGCGCGGGCACCGACGCTGGCCGCCGGCGCAGCGGGGCCGGGCCACGGTTGGGGCCTGGGCAGGGCGCCGCGAGGGCAGGGGCGCGGTGGCGCCGTGCAGGGGCGCGGCGGCGCCGAGGCGCGGCGTCGGGGACCACGCGGGGGGCCCGACACCACGCGGGAGGCCCCGAGAGACCCCGACACCATGCGGGAGACCCCGACACCACGCGGGAGGCCTCGACACCACGCGAGAACCTCCGGGGAGACACCGACACCACGCGGGAGGCCTTGACAGCACGCCGAGGGGGCGCTCGCCGTCGCTCGGACGCGGCGGGGGGGGGGGGTCCGGGCCGGAGGCCCGCGAGCTCGGGGCGCCGCGCCCAGGCGCCCAGCGCGCCAGCGAGGGCGCAGCCGAGCTGGCCGCTCGCTCGGGGCGAGAGGTGCGGAGGAAGGCAGCGTGCGAGCGGGCCTTCGGGGCAGGCCCTCTCCTCTTGATCGCGAGCGCGGTGGCGCCTGCGCAGCCCGACGCTGTGGGCTTTCGAGGGGCCGTATGCGGAGCCTCCGGCGCTGCGCCTGCTCGTGGCAGCTCTCCGTGCCGAAGGGCAGGCCCTGCCTGACTCTGCCCGTGCGGACGCCGGACGTTTCGACATTGGGCGGAAAGGAGGGGGAGGAGGGGGGGGGTCTGACTCCGGACCGCTGCTTCATGCGAATGTTTGCGAGCGCGTCCTCTGGGGGGGACTCCATCTGCCCGAAACAGGCTCCAAAAACACCCAAGATCTGCTCCACGAGGGGGGGATGGAGCGAGGGCCCGCGCCGATCGGCAAAACAATGAAGAAGAAAACGATTACATGCGAAACATAGGGATAGGGATCTGCTTCAAACTGGTAACTCTCTGCTTCGGGGCAAAGAGGGCAAGGGAACGACGCGGTCGGGGTGTGGGCAGTGCCCTCGCCTGGCCTGTGGAGAGACCGAGCTCGGCGGAGCGCTCGCGAGCGCAGGGCCTGCCGTCGAATGAACCGCGCGCCCGCGCATCGCTCCGCAGGGCCGACGCTGCCCGCAATTGCGCCAAATCATCGCCACCGTCACGGAATCACCATCGCCAGCTGGGTACAGGTACAGGTTGGCGCACCATCATCACCATCACCATCACCATCATCATCATCATCATCATCATCATCATCATCATCATCATCATCATCATCAGCATCATCATCATCACCATCATCATCATCATCATTATCATCATCATCATCATCAGCATCAGCATCATCATCATCATCATCATCATCATCATCATCATCATCATCATCATCATCATCATCAATCATCATTACCATCCATCATCATCATCATCATCATCATCATCATCATCATCATCATCATCATTATCATCATCATCATTCATCATATTCATCATCATCATCAGCATCCTCGTCATCCTCATCGTCATCATCATCATCATCACCATCATCATTAGCATCAGCATCATAGTCATCATCGTCATAATCATCATCGTAAGCAGCATCAGCATCATCATCAGCAGCATCAGCAGCATCATCACTAACATCATTACCAGCATTATCATCAGTACCAGCATAAGCATCATCATTATCATCATCATGATCATCCGAGCCATCATTATTGTCAGCATTATCAGCACCAGCATCACCAACATCAGCACCATCATCATCAAGATCAGCTTCATCATCATGATCAGTATCATCATCATCATCATCATCATCATCATCATCATCATCAGCAGCAGCAGCAGCAGCAGCAGCAGCAGCAGCATCATCATCATCATCATCATCATCATCATCATCATCATCATCATCATCATCATCATCATCATCGGCATTATCAACATCGATATCATCATCATCACCACCATGATTATCATCAGCATCATCAGCATCAGCATCATCAGCGTCATCATCACCATCATCGGCAGCATCATCATCAACATCATCATACCGATAACACAGGTACAGCTGACACGGCAGGGGACTTGTGCATAGCGTGTCGCCGCGGCGGCCCAGGCGACACCCGATGCCCCGCGAGCGGACAGCGTTTCCGCTTCGCGGGGCGGGAGGCCTGGGGAGCGCTCGGAGCGCTGACGCTCGGGGACGAGGACGCGGACCGCGTGCCGCGCCAAACCGTGGTCTAGGAGGCAACTACTAGGAGGCTTTCGCCGGAAAAATTTAAAAATATGAAGCCCCATGTTGGAGCTGTTACGCCGGAGTGGGCCTCGGACTAAGCAGGATTCAGCCGGATTAAGCGGGACTAAGCAGGATTAAACCGGATTAGGCGGGATTAAGCCAGATTTAGCCGGATTTAGCCGGATTTCCGACCAGGGCAAAATCAGAATTTGACCTCCCAGGAGTTGCATCCAAACGCGGTGAACCAGAACCTGCGGAGCGACACGCTATCCAACAAGTTCCCGACCGCAAGGACAAGGATAACAGAGGTAATCATGAGCGTTGTCATCGCTGCTGGTGGCCGCGGTGGGGGCTCTTGCCGGCGCGTCATGCCCGACCATTTGCGGACACGTGCCGCGGGCGGAGCTCCCGGATTCTTCCAGGTGGGCGAGGGGGTGCTATGGTCAGCCCCCCCCCGCTTAAGACGTCATGCCAGCCCAGACTTCTGGGCATCGGCAGCGAGCATTCCGTGGTGCCGTGCAACACAAAGCCGTGGAAGTCTGCGCGAGGAGCCCCCGGCCAAGGAAAGGTCACAGAAGGAGAGAGGATCACGGGAAAGCGGAGGGGTGGGCCAGGGGGGGGGGAACAGAAATGCCGTGACGAGGACCGCTAGCCGCCTGGTTCGGCAGCCCGGCCAGGAAGCTCAATCCCTGCACGCCGCGCTGGAGCAGCACCCGAAGAACGAGAAGAGGCCACCTGGCCGCTTCCCCGCGCCGCTGCCTGGCCTGGCCGCCTCCTCCCCGCCATAGTCCCCCACGCCGCGCGGGCTCCCCGGCGCCAGGCTGCTGCTCCTCGGGGTGGCCGCGCCAGCGGTCGCCGCCGACTTCTCCGCGACGTGCGCCGGCTCGAGGCGGGAAGCACCCGGGCCTACCCGGCCGGGGCTCGGGTGTGCCGCCGCCTCCTTGTGGAGCAGGGGCCGACCGTCCTGGCTTTCATAGAGAGGCCTACCGCGACAGGCTCGTAGAACCCAAACATGCTCTGAGAACAAGCACCATGCTCTCAGAAGCCGACGGCCCGAAGCGTGCTGAGCACATGTCGCGCAGACCACAGACGGTTCTTGGAACATTCTTTGGTGGGCCCACAGGCGAGCCAAGACGCTTCGCCACTGCTTGATCCTTGGCCGCGCCGTCCGCGCCCCCCTCGCGCCCGCCGGGCCCCAAGGCCTCGCCGCAGTGCCGCTGGCGGCTGGCGGCCGTGGTGCTGCTGCCGCTGGGGGGCTGCGTCCAGTCGTAGACTCCGTCGTTGGCGAAGCCCTCCTGCTGGCAGAAGTCTTTGAAGAGGCCGCGGAGGTAGGCGTAGTCGGGCCGGTCGTCGAAGCGGAGGGCCTCCACGGGTGCGGCCAGAGGTGGCCATGACCCAGGGTGCCCCTGGCTTGTGTCGCCCCCTTGCGGAGCCCCTGGGGGCCTCTGGGCATCGTGGCAGGGATGCCTTGGAGAGACCCCTGGGGCCTCCTCGGAAAGCCTCGGACCAGCTTGGGCCATGGCCGGTTCTGGACCCTCCCCCCGAGCCTTGCAGTAGTTGAGGTACACGGAGAAAACAAGTGGGAACCCTTCGCAGATGGTAGCAACCGGGGTTCGCATTTTGACATCCAAGATCTTGGCGGACTTCTCCTGCTTTGTGGCACCGTGCACGCCCTGCCACGGAAGGTTACCACGGTTGAAATACATCAGGACGTATCCTATGGCTTCAAGGTCGTCTCTGCGGCTCTGCTCGACACCAATGTGGGCATTGAGGGACGCATAGCGAGCTGTACCCGTGAGACTTTTCCCCTCCGCGAAGGGTATGTGCTGCAGCGTTTTCGGGTCTCGATACTTCTTCGCAAGGCCAAGGTCTATGAGGTGCAGGACGGTATCCTTCTTCCCGGTCCCCATGAGGAAATTGTCTGGCTTAATATCGCGGTGTATGAAGCTCTTCGAGTGGAGGTGCTCGATCCTGTACAGCATCTGGTCTGCGATCATCGCCACTGTTTTCAGGCTGAAGCGTCGTTGACACAGGTTGAAGAGGTCTTCAAGGGACGGGCCCAGCAGATCCATCACCATAACGTTGTAGTCGCCCTCCACACCGAAATACTGCACTTTTGCAAATCCTGGGGCTCCCTGCATGTGCTTCGTGACCTTGGCCTCGAACAACAGCATGGGGTACTTGCTATTGACGGCCTCCAGCTTCACCGCCAGCTCGTCGCCAGTGTGGGTGTCCACCACGAAGTAGATCTCCCCGAAAGAGCCGCTGCCGAGCTTCCTGCCCAGACAGTACCTGTGAAGGCCTCCCAGATCAAGCCCGAACAGCTGGGGCCCGTGGATCGCGCCGCATCGCCGATGCACCAGCGATACACGAGCGCCGCCGCCGTGGAGAAAGTCGGGCTCCGCATCGCACCGCATCGCCGATGCATCGCCGATGCGGCGCGAGCCTGCCACCCCATTCGCTCGGGCCCCATCCAGGATGATTAGCAATGAAAGGACCCCTAACCCTTTGGGAGGGGACCCAAGTTAGGAGGGCGAACAGCATTACGGATAGGGGGTCGTCTCTGCAAATGTATCGAATCAGACCGCCCAGATCTGTTATCCCAATTGCAAAGACGGTGACCTCAGTGAGGCTACGCCTTCATCGTGATATTAGGGCTAGGTCGGGCATGTCCTCCTACAGTCGTGTTCTGAAGGAGACACTGAAACGATGCAACAAATAGTCAAAAACTGTTCAACAATGAATCATCGGAACATCGCCACCACAGTATTTTTCGACTACTCTGCAGTACTCCTCCTGCAGAGGGATATGCCCGACTTAATGTCAGGGTCAGGGGCTCCTCTCTCCTGGATGACAGGAGGCCCGGGGCCTGCCGCCCAGCCGGCTCCCGACGATCCGCGGGAGCTGCTGGCTGCTCCCCTCCAGAGACATGGCCGCCCCTCGGGCTGCCTAGGGGCCGACGGCGGCAGACGCGACGGCCGACGGTCGGGGCCCCGCCGACGAGGGGCTGCTGCTGACGCGGAGCGCTGGGCGCAGCCGGGCAGAAGCTGCGGGGCAGCCCTCCTTCGGCGGCGAGCGAGAAGCAGCAGGCCTTCTCAGAAGGCGGCGGGACTGCTCAGAGGCCCTCGCGCCCTCTGAGGAGCTTGATTTGTCTGTCTTCGGGGCAGGCTCGGCTCAGAGAGCTTCTCAGAAGGCCGGGGGACTTCCGAACCTTCTGAGAAGGCCTTCTCCTTCTCACTTCACTCTCCTCACTCGCCGCCGAGACTTGCACTCGTGGGCTACACGCAAGGGTGACCCTGGGCAAGAGTGACATTTGGGGAGCGGAGCAAAAGGGGTGCAAGGTGGCCAAATCTATGCGCACAGGCAGCAATTACCGCATCGCGCTCAGCGATCGGGGGGGGGGCCCTGGTGAGCCCGCACCAAAGGTCACTCCAGCGAAAGGTCCCTCTTGCATGCAGTCGACTCATGCCCCGCTTCTGGACCAGAACACAAACGACACCGCCCCGCCTACGGCGCCCAATGGCTTAGCGTATGCTGGGAGGTCTGGCGCAGGTTTTCGCGAGGTATACGCTACGGCGCCCGAGAGGCCTTAGCGCAACATGGAGGGCTGTAGGTGAAAAAGTGTCGCGCTGGTTTTTTGGTCGAGCTTCCTCCCGGTGGGTCTCATGCGTTTTTTACTTCTGAAGGCTTCTGCCGACGGAGGTCGTCTCTCTTGCTGCTTCCGCCGCCTTCCGCCGCCTTCCGCCGAGGAAAGCGTTGCCAACTCGCCCGGTTCCCAGAAGAGGCGACGACCTGTCTGGAGCGCGCCCTGCCGTGGCCTCACGAGCGACGGGCCGTCCGTATCCGCACCCTCGCGGTCGGGGCTCCGAGGCGCGGCCCCGCCAATGCGAGGTCGCACGGATACGTCTCCGAAACAGCGCCCCGTCTCGGCGGGTTCGCGGGCCCAGGGTCTGGGCCCACGCGGCCGTGAGTACGGATACTCGTCGGTCGGAAGGAGTGTGTGAAACATGAAGCAGGAAGGCGCTGGAAGCAGATTGGGCTTCCGCCCGCCCCCTTAAGAGGAGGGCAGAGGGACAACCGCTCGACTCTTGAAGCAGGCAGGCGCTGGAAGCGGATTGGACTTCCGCCCGCCCCCTGAGGAGGAGGGCAGAGGGACAACCGCTCGACTCTCGAAGCAGGCAGGCGCTGGAAATAGACTGGGACCTGGGACCTGGACATCCACAAGCAGACCTACTTCTTCAACGCTGGGCGTGCACGCCGTCGCCCGAGACGAGACCCTGCAGCGCCCCGGTCTGCAGAAACCCCCGGCCTCCGGGGCCCTGGGATGATGTCGCGCGCCGCAGCGCCTGCATCCAGGGCAAGCCAGGCGCCGAGGCCGCCGAGGGCAGCCCGGGGCCCGAGCCGAAGAGGCTGCCGCACGCGCGCCGCGAGGCACTGCGCCCAGAGGTGCGGGGCCCCTCGCGCGCGCAGGCCCGCAGTGTGGACCCGCGGGGCCCCCGTGCCGGGCTGGGAGGCCCTCGGAGGCCGCCGGCGGGCCTCGGAGGGCCTCGGCCAGCAGGAGCGCAGGGAGCAGGAGCAGGATTGGGGGTCAGAGCGACGGTGACATGATGATTCGTATTATTAGTATTATTATGATTATCAACATCAATATTAGTATTCGTAGTAGGAGTAGCAGTCGTCGTACTACTATTACGCATGATCATATCATAATATCATAATCAATCATATTATCATCGTGAGTATGAATGTTAGAGTGTGTACGCATTCTTATTATTAGTTAGCACGCATATGCGTATATTAGGAATACTTTTGATCAGTAGTACGCATATTATGTTTCTGGTGGCAGGTTGGATAAGAGTATATATGCATAGAGAAACAAACGATTATTGACATTGTGGTCTTTCCTGTTACGCTTGTCAACGGTATTACTGGTAATAAAAATCATCATACACATAGTCGTACTAGTAGTCGTGAGAGTAGTAGCCGTAGTCGAAATAAGGGGTATTCGTAGTAATAGTAGTAGTAGTAGTAGTAGTAGTAGTAGTAGTAGTAGTAGTAGTCGTAGCAGTAGTAGTCGTAGCAGTAGTAGTAGTAGAAGAAGAAGAAGAAGTAGTCGTATTAGTAGTAGTAGTAGTAGTAGTTGTTGTTGTGATCGTAGTAGTAGTGAAAGTAGTAGTAGTAGTAGTAGTAGTAGAAGAAGAAGTAGTAGTAGTTGTATTAGTAGTAAGTCGTAGTAGTAGCAGTAGTAGTAGTAGTAGTAGGTGGTGGTAGTAGTAGTAGTTGTAGTAGTAGCAGTAGTAGTAGTTGTAGTAGTAGTAGTAGCAGTAGCAGTAGTAGTAGTAGTAGTAGCAGCAGCAGCAGCAGTAGTAGTAGTAGTAGTAGTAGTAGTAGTAGTAGTAGTAGTAGTAATAGTACTGGTGGTATTAGAAGTAGTAGTAGTAGTAGTAGTAGTAGTAGTAGTAGTAGTAGTAGTAGCAGTAGTAGAGCTAGTCGTAGTAGTAGTAGTAGTAGTAGTAGTAGTAGTAGTAGTAGTCGTCGTCGTCGTCGTCGTAATAGTAGTCGTAGTGGTAGGAGTCGTAGCAGTAGTCGTGGTAGTAGTAGTAGTAGCAGCAGCAGTACTAGTAGTAGTAGTAGTAGTAGTAGTAGTAGTAGTAGTAGTAGTAGTAGTAGTAGTAGTAGTAGTAATAGTAGTGATAATAACAGTAGTAGTGGTAGTAGCAGTGGTAATTGTAGTAATTGTACAAGTAGTGTCAGAGTAATCATCTCAGAAATATGGTTTGTAATAGCGACCGTAACAATCGTATTCGTAAGATTAGCCGTAGTAGAAATTATAGTAGTGGTCGTGGTTAGCGTCGTTGTAGTAGTAGTCGTCGTCGTAGTCGTAGCTTGAATAGTAGTAGTGGTAGTAGTAGCAGCAGTAATCGTAGTAGTAGTAGTAGTAGTAGTAGTAGTAGTAGTAGTAGTAGTAGTAGTAGTTTTTGTAGTAAGAGTAGTTCGACTAGTAGAAGTATTAACAGTAGTAGCCGTGGTAGTAGTAGTAGTAGTAGTAGTAGTAGTAGTAGTAGTAGTAGTAGTAATAGTGGTAGTAGTAGTAGTAGTAGTAGTAGTAGTAGTAGTAGTAGTTGTGGTAGTAGTAGTCGTAGTCGTAGTAGTAGTAGTAGTAGTAGTAGTAGTAGTAGTAGTAGTAGTAGTAGTGATAGTCGTAGTAGTAGTAGTAGTAGTAGTTAGTAGTAGTAGTAGTATAGTAGTCGTAGTAGTAGTAGTAGTAGTCGTAGTAGTAGTAGTAGAAGTAGTAGTAGTAGTAGTAGTAGTAGTAGTAGTCGTAGTCGTAGTAGTAGTAGTAGTCGTAGTAGTAGTAGTAGTAGTGGTAGAAAGTGGTAGTAATAGTAGTCGTGTACTCGTAGTAGTCGCAGTAGTCGTAGTAGTAGTAGTGGTAGTCGTAGTAGTAGTAGTAGTAGTAGTAGTAGTAGTAGTAGTAGTAGTAGCCCTCTTACTCGTAGTAGTGGTAGTAGTAGTAGTAGTAGTAGTAATAGTAGTAGTAGTACTAGTTGTAGTAGTAGTAGTAGTAGTAGAAGTAGTAGTAGTAGTGGTAGTAGTAGTCGTCGTCGTAGCAGTAGTAGTAGTAGTAGTAGTAGTAGCCGTAGTAATAGTCTAAGTAGAAGTAGTAACAGTAGTAGTAGTAGTAGTAGTAGTAGTAGTAGTAGTAGTAGTAGTAGTAGTAGTAGTAGTAGTAGTAGTAGTAGTAGTAGTAGTAGTAGTAGTAGTAGTAGTAGTAGTAGTAGTAGTAGTAGTAGTAGTAGTAGTAGTAGTAGTAGTAGTAGTAGTAGTAGTAGTAGTAGTAGTAGTAGTAGTAGTAGTAGTAGTAGTAGTAGTAGTAGTAGTAGTAGTAGTAGTAGTAGTAGTAGTAGTAGTAGTAGTAGTAGTAGTAGTAGTAGTAGTAGTAGTAGTAGTAGTAGTAGTAGTAGTAGTAGTAGTAGTAGTAGTAGTAGTAGTAGTAGTAGTAGTAGCAGTAGTAGTAGTAGTAATCGTAAACGTAGTCGCTATACCAATGTTCGTAGAATTGTCATTCGGAACCTGTTGACAATAGCCCTTGTGGCTCAGAGCCAGCTCTGTCGGCTGGCACTTTACTTACCCTTCGAGTTTGCACTGCATTGTGGAAGCAGAGATTCATGACAGCCCATCTCGTTGAGTTCGGCTGGTGGTCAGAGCGACGGTGGCGACCCCGTCCTGGACACGTGCACTTCACCAGAGCAGAACTGCGCCGAGGCGTTACACGGAGGAGGGGATGGCAATCGTCGAGCAGGATCAATATCACATAGCAACTCGTGAAAACAGGGTGCAAGGACACCACACGGAGACGGACCGCAACAGGGAGGGGAAGAAGGGGGAAGGGGAGTAGGGCGAAGCATGAGTGAAGATGAGCAGGAAGGTAAGAATCCTACAAGCCCTCGGAACGGAGGTGGTCCAAACCACTTCCTCCCCGTGTTTCCCCTCCGGGAGAGGAGTTGCTCCTCCTCTCGCCCGTCCCCCTGGCAGTTACTGCCAGTCCAAGATGGCCAAATATGGCTCCAAGATGGCCTCACGGAGTCCACGATGACCTCCAAGATGGTAGAAGATCGGTCACGATGGCTCACCAAGACCGCCCTAAGGCGGCTCCAAATGGCCACGGAACCTTCTAAAGACACTTCCGAGAGGCCACCATCTTTTCCAAGACACTGGATGAGGCATTATGATTGTATTATCGCCTTTTCGCTTCCCACGGGTTTCTGCGGCCTTGAGGTGTCTCCAAGATGGCCAAAGAGAGCCCCAAGAGGGGCCCACGAGGGCTCCAGGATGGGCCCAAGAGCGCCCGAAGAGCGTCCTTAGAGGGCCAGCTCACGCATTCGTAGCTCGCAACTCGTTTGTGTCATGCGTCGCTCTTCCTCCCTTCATGCTTGTAGCTCCCCCCGATGCCTCTATGCTAAGGAGGATGAATCTCGAACTGTGGTCGCGCCATAATCATCTGCCATCGACTTTGCACTTCATCACCCCCTAAAAAGAGGCGGATCCCGTGACTTTCGTGGGCCGCTGCCGTGGGGGGTGTGCGTCTGGGCCCGTGGGGTTGTGGTTGGTGCCTCCGAGTGTCCCCAGTCGTTTACTGGAGCCACCCCAGGCGGCGCCAAGATGGCAGAGACATCATATGGCTTCAAGCGCTCCAAACGGCCACAAGAACGCTCCAGACGGCATCAAGGTGGCCCAAACGGAACCCAAGACTGCGAAAGAGGACTCCAAGGAGGCACCCCAACGGACTCTGAGATGCCCCAAGACGCAAAACCATAGAGCAGCCGCGAAGCGGTGCCGCCGCGCGAACGGGCAAAGAGGGAGTGCGGACCGAGACACTCCGCTGGCCGAGCAGGCCACCTGCGTGAAGACACCGACTGCCACGCCACCACGACGCCACCAAGGGGGCGGCCGAGAGCCAGCTGAATCCTCCTGCCCCTAGACCCTACGAGTTTCGGACCTACAGCTGCCCAAGACGGCCACAAGGTGGCCCAGAGGTCACCAATACCAACCAGGAGGACTCCAAGAGGCCCTCCAGGAGGGGCCAAATAAGCAAACACAGTCGAATTCCACTTGGCCTTGGATGTTGTTGACGGTCACGCCTTGCCAGGCGCACGATAGCCCAAGACGGCCGAGGAGGGATCCAAGACGACCCAAAGACAACCTAAGAGGCCCTTTAAGCGGGCATTAACAGCTCAAACGACTTCCAAGACGACCCTACAAAGTCCCACGAGGGTCTCAAGACGGCCCAGAGAGATCTCAGCTCATCGTGCCATAGACTCTTGCTGTTCATATTTGTACATCATATGTTTCAATCATAGTTTCCCATATCTACCGTAGATGGCCTTTGTGGTTCATCTTCCAGGGAGGGCACGCTTCTTGCAAACACGTCAATATTTCACAACTGTTCTGGCAACCATATCCGACACGGAATGCGGCAAAGGACAGCCGCAACCTTACAGGAGAGAAGAAACATCGGAAACATGATTTCGAAGACTACTGCGTTTATTTCACCAACATGGCAGTGCAGCCACCGTAGAGATCCACAGGTGGACACACGATAAGATCTGCACCAAATTGCCCGAAGACCCAGAATGGTACTCCGATATGGGGAAACGATCACTTGCTTTCCAATCCTACGCTGCAGCTGTGAAATTGTACCACGCAAGCCTCAAGACCAACGAGACACAACTAGCGACACCGCGTCTTTGGTAAGCACTGTCTGGCTTTGTACGGCGAGGCTCACCTGCAAGGTTCCACCATCCCTCTCCCTTGCGTGAATTGACGCACCACTCGCAATGCCGCGGCACTGCCCACTCTCTGCGCTTTTTGGGCAAGCAACTGCGCACATCGCCGCCACGCCGCCAGCCATCGAAGACCTGAAAAGGCACTGCACTCGCCCGGGGCCCCTGCAAGCTCCTTGCTTGGCAAGCACACGGGGAAGCGTACAAGCCGCGCTGCAAACACAAAATTCTGGATGTCGCCGCGGATCAGCGGTACCCGTTCTGCTGTCACGGACCGCCAAGATCTCGAGACAAGAGGATTCGGAACTCGGAACTCGGAGGTCCGCGGAAAGATGCCAGAGTGCATCGTTGCTAGGGGTGTGCGCTACGCTGAAGACGCCGTGCAGACCAGCCAAGAAGAGGATTACAGGGGGGGGGGGGGAAGGGGGGGCTGGAGGACGAGGAAGAGCAGGGGATGAAGGGGGGGGGGCGCGGTCGGCGCAGAGGGCGGCCTGGAAGCCAGGCCAGAAGGCACGGCCGCCACGCGGACGCAGGCCGTGCCCGCGTGGGGCTGCCCAGGGCAAGTTCTGCGGCCCCAGCCTGGCCGATGCCGATGTCGCATGTCGTCGTCGACGTCGTTGTCGTCGTTGACGCCAATGTCGGCTTGTTCGTCGACGGCGTTGTCGACGTCGCCAGCGTCGTGGTCGTGGTCGACATTGTCGTCGTCGCCGCCAAGGATTGATTGAGGGCCGAGGCTCATGGACAGTTGGGAGCTTTTCTTGGACTTCCAGAGATCGCCGCCGTCTTTATCGCCGCGTCGGCCGGCGCCATTGTCTTCGTCGCCGTCGTTGTCGCTGTTGCCTTCGACGCTGACGTGGTCGTCGACGATCGACATCGAATCGCGTCCCCAAGCCCTCTAATACGGGCTTTCTCTTCCGTGTCCAAAATAGTGCCGTGAACCCCAGGGCCTAGGAGCGCCCTCGACACCTCCCTAAATTCGCTGACGCCCGTGTGGGCCCTTCAGAAGCATTGGAAGCCTGCGTCCCTGGATGTGTCGGGGGCACCCCCGATCCCATCGGAGGTTCGGAGGTCTCCACCTGTCGGGTCGGGCGAAAGGAGCGGATAGCAAAGGGGGGGGGGTGAGAATCAGCTCGCGTAGCTGATTTTCCCGGCGCGTCCTGCCGCCAGAAGGCGGCCATGTATCGAGGAATGGGCCCCTCGGTGGGGCCGAGACCACCTGCATGCATCAGATTTGGCCCCCCCCCGTGCCCAATCCCCCATTTCATCCAGCCCGAACCAGGTGCCCAGAAAGGTTCTGGGAGAGGCCTGCAGAGGCCCAAAGAGGGCCATACACGCACCAAGAGCATTGATCCGCCACCCTGGGCCCTCGACCTCGACTGGGGAAACCAAAAGGTAAGGATACCGCTGCTCGTTGGACCCCCCCCGGGGCGCGTTCTCACCAGGATCTCGAGGCGAATCTAGCGGTGGCGACAAGGGCCTCCCAGAGGCCCAAAAAGGTGCAAACGGGCAAACGATCGAACTTTACTCTGTCTGCTGTCTCTATAAAGAAGAAAGCAAGCTTGGTACGCTTGCGCCAACTACGACCGAACTGGCACTGATCAAAGACTCGAGTGTGGCCTCCAAACACGCAGATGGCATCTAGGAGCTCGGGAGTATGCCAAATCCTAGAGTTGACGGGATGCTCTAATACGGTGGGGACGGAGCATCGGCATAGCACGCGAAGCAACTGCAAAGCACAGCGACAAACTCTGTTGCCGCGCCTTAACCTCTCACGCTGTCGCTGCGTGAGCGACGCCTCAGGTAGTCCCCACGGCTCTCTCGTCGAGCGAATGGGGCCATCACGGCCGCGGTCTGCGGCTCCTCCCCAGGCATCGCACGGAGGGCCCATCACCGCTCCCAGCACCTCTCTGCGCTTGCTCGACGCGGCCAGACGGCCCAGCACCTTCAGGTCCGTCAGGTCCTCCTCGGGCCCACGGGCTCGATCGTGCGCGTGAGTGTTGCAACCCTGCTGGATCGCTGCCCGCGCGTAACCTCCGGTGCCTGAGTAGAGGTCGAGGATGCAGCGACCTCTGAAGTGCCCCGCCAGGGAAGCGCCACGCCATGCGGCCGGCCCAGGAGTATGTCTTCGAGCGCTCCTTCGCAGGCCTCGAGCAGTCGGCGCAGGCTGGCGGGAAGCAACTCCCAACTCTGTCCCAGTCGAGCTCCCTTCGCGCACCGCTGGGCGCTCTTCACGCTCGCCCACTGTCCCCGGCGCCGCGCCTCCGACACCGTCCGATACCGACGTGCGATATCGATCGACGGGCCCGAGTGCCGCGTCTGGCACGGCACGATGACTTTGGTGGTCCCGAGCTCGACCAGGGAGACCTTGAACTCCTGAAGGTACTGCGGGCACGTGAATGTCCACACCGCGCCCTCACTGGGCCCGCTGGCCAACGCCCTCAGATGGGCCCCGAGAACTGGAGGCGCGGCGAATCCATCGCGATGATGACGTCGCTGACGTCGGTCTTGCCCCGCTTGGCCTGCTCCGACGGGGAAGAGCAACAGGCTCCAGATCTGGGAGATTCCAGCCGCAGGAGCAATACTACTACGGCGCCTGAGACCCATCAACTCGTTCCGTCTCATGTAGCTGCTGAGCGAGACCAGGAGGAAGACCGCCATCTGCAAGAAACCGCGCGCCGTCAGCCTCCAGGCCACTCCATCTGAAAAAAGTGCTGTTCAGACTCTGGGGCGCCCCCAGACTCTGGGGGTTGGGGGTTGCTCCGACTTTGTCTCTCGTTGTCCGACTGTGTCTCCTCGCTCATACCCCCTGCCTCCTTCTCCTGGTCCTCCTCCCTGTTTCTCTTCCTACTCCCTCTTCGCCTGCTTTTCCCAGTCCTTTTCTTTCTATTCCTCCTTTTCCTCCTCCTCCTCCTCCTCCTCAACCTCCTCCTCCTCCTCCTCCTCGCCCCCAGTGCGCCCAGGAGGCTTTCAAGATGGCCCCATGACGGCCCAGGAGGCCCCAAAGACGGCCCCAAGAGGCCTCTAAGACGCCCAATATGGCCTCCAAGACGGCCCTGAAGCGCCTCAAGAGGACCCCACATCGGTTCAGAGAGGCCCCCAAGACGGCTTCCGACGGCGTCAGACCCGTCAGACGGGCTAGGAACGATTTAAGACTGCCAAGGAGAGGCCCCCAAGACGCCCCCACGGCCCCCAAGAGGCCCGTAGGCGTCTTGGATCCGCCGCCCCCTGTGCTTGCCACAGGGTTGGACGGCGTGCCAGACATTTTGCTGAGATTCTGATTTTCAAACCCTTCCCAGTGGCCTTCGGCCCAGACCGCCTGCCCCTCGGAAGGACCAGAAGGTGTGGCCCACATCGCCACCAAGACGGCCCAAACGGCCCAATATGGTCACCAAGATGCCTCCAAGGCGGCTAGGATCGCTCCAAGAGAGCCCAAGACGGCTCCAATATGTCTCCAAGACGGCCCAAGATGCACCCGAGGCGTCCAAGATGGCCCCAAGATGGCCCAGGACGGCCCCAAAGGCCCCCAAGAGGCTTTTAATGCAGTCCAAGAAGCCTCCAAAGGGATCTGCAGGAAGGCCCGAAGAGGCCAAGACAGCTGATTTCCCGTGGGCTCTTGATGGATTTTGACGTTTTCGGCCTGCCGACGGCCCAATGCCGCCGAAGAGACCCCCAAGATGGCCCCAAGAGCGCCCAAGAGGCCTCCAAGACGGCCCCATGACGGCCTCCAGACGGTCCAAGAGGCCCCCAAGGCGCCTCCAAGACGGCCCACGAGAATTCCAAGGCGCCCACGATGGCCTTCAAGACGGCTCCAAAACGTCCAAGATGGCAACGATACGATTCGACATAGCCCCAGGATGTCCCAAGACAGCCACAGAGAGCCCCAAGGGCCCCAAGGGGATCCAAGGGGCCTCCTAGACAGTCTAGGAAGTCTTCAAGAGGACCTCCAGGAGAGCCCGAAATGCCCAAATGGTTGTATTTATTCCCTTCAATTGTTGAATAATTTGGGCGCGTTTTCTTTTTCGGCTGTCCGACGGCCCAAGATGTCCACAAGATGGTCCCAAGACGGCCCAAGCTGACTTCAAGATGGCCCCAAAAGGGCCCCAAAGGGCGAGGAAACAGTCCAAGAGGAAGAGCAAGAGGAAAGGACGGAATCAGAGGCCCGAAGCGGCTCCGAGAAGCCTGCAGCTCAGCGCGGGCTCGTCTGCGGACGCCCTTGCCCCCCCCAGGAAAAACATATCACCCCGAGGCCCGGTGATGTTTTGTGGGGCCGCCATCTCAAAGCCCCACGGCCAGCTTTTGGGTCGAGGAGGAGGAGGGGCAGGAGGACGAGGAGGTGATCAACAGGAACCAGAGGAGCAGGAGCAGCAGGAGGACGAGGAGTTTGAGCAAGGGGTCAAGGACGGAAAGATAGGCCAGAAGCGGCTCCGAGACCAGACCGCGCTGAGCTGCAGGGTTTTCGGAGCCGCTTAAGGCCTCTCATTTCGTCCTTGTCCCCCTGCTCAACCTCCTCGTCCTCCTGCTCCTGATTCTCCTGGTTTTGCTCCTCTTCTTCCTCGACCCAAGAGCCGGCCGTGGGGCCTTGAAAGGGCGGGCCGAAAAAATGTCACCGGGGGCCGAGCTGCAGGCTTCTCGGAGCCGATGCGGCCAAAAAGAGGCTGCCCTGCAGGCTGTCTCGGAGCCGCTGCGCCAAAAGAAGGACACCTTGTCGGTTTAACTACTAGGTCGCTTTGTCGGCTGATTTCGGGCGCGTCGTCATCGTGGTCGTCGTTGTCATCGTCGTCGTCGTGGTCGTCGTCGTCACTACCATCGTCGTGGTCGTCGTCGTCGTCGTTGTCGTCGTCGTCGTCGTCGTCGTCATCGTCGTCGTCGTTGTCGTTGTCGTCGCCGTCCATAAGATGGCCCCGAGAGGGCCCTAAGAGGGCCCCAAGAGAGCCCCAAGAGGGCTCCGAGAGGGCCCCAAGAGGGCCCCAGGAGTTGTGCAACAACCCAGCGGCCGCTGGTACATAACTCCTGGGGCCCTCTTGGGGCCCTCTGAGGGCCCTCTTGGAGCCCTCCTGGGCCCCTGGTTGGCCCATGAGAGGGCTCCAAGAGGGCCCTAAGAGGGCCCCAAGAGGGCCCCAAAAGGGCCCCAAGAGGGCCCCAAGAGGGCGCCAAGAGGGCCCCAAGAAGGCCCCAGGAATTATGTACCAATCCAGCGGCCGCTGGTACATAACTCCTGAACCCTCTTGGGACCCCAAGAGGGCCCCAAGAGGGCCCCAAGAGGGCCCCAAAAGGGCCCCAAGAGGGCGCCAAGAGGGCGCCAAGAGGGCTCCAAGAAGGCCCCAGGAATTATGTACCAACCCAGCGGCCGGTGGTACAGAACTCCTGGGGCCCTCCTCCTCCTCCTCGGCGACGACGACGACGAGGAGGTGTAAACGCACCCTTACCCAGCCCCTGCAGGACCAGGCAGCGATACTTGGACCAAATTTCCTGGCCCCTGTTTCGACCCCAGAGCTCTCGACCCCGTCCAGGAGCTCCCGACCCCAACCCGGAGCTTTCGGCCCCATCCTGGAGCTCTCGACCCGCAGACGACGGCGACGACGACGACGACGACGACGCCTCGACCTGGAGTGGTAAGTTTTGCTGCTGCTTTTCCCCAGGGGTTTGGAGCCCTCGGGGCCCAGGGGGGCCCCGAAACGGATCCGAAGCCTCAAATTTTTCCGGCCCGCGACCGACGACCGGCGACAACGACGACGACGACGACGACGACGACGACGACGACGGGCATAAGTTATTTGGCGCCCCCCCTTGGGAGCATCGGGTAACTGGGGGGTGCGCTCCACACCCCCCACTTACCCGGTGTCCCCCAGGGGACATCGGGTAACTCGACCTTGCAGGGGGGGGTGTTAGGCACGGGTTACCCGGTGGCGAGGGGGGGGCATCGGGTAACTCGACTTTGCACGGGGGGGAGTCGGGCATGAGTTACCCGGTGTCCCCTGGGGGACATCGGGTAAGCGGGGGGTGCGCTCCACACCCCCCACTTACCCGGTGTCCCCCGAGGGGCGTCGAGTAAGTCGACCTTGCAAGGGGCGCATTCGGCATTATTCAGTAAACCGGTGGACCCCCATGGGACATCGGAGTTACCCGGTGGTCCCCGTGGGACATCGGCCCGTGGGACATCGGAGTTACCCGGTGTCCCCCGGGGGACATCGGGTAACTCGACATTGCAAGGGGGGTCTGGGCATGGTTACCCGGTGGCCTCCCGTGGGACATCGGAGTTACCCGGTGTCCCCCGTGGGACATCGGAGTTACCCGGTGGTCCCCGTGGGACATCGGCCCGTGGGACATCGGAGTTACCCGGTGTCCCCCGTGGGACATCGGAGTTACCCGGTGGTCCCCGTGGGACATCGGCCCGTGGGACATCGGAGTTACCCGGTGTCCCCCGTGGGACATCGGAGTTACCCGGTGGTCCCCGTGGGACATCGGCCCGTGGGACATCGGAGTTACCCGGTGTCCCCCGGGGGACATCGGGTAACTCGACCTTGCAAGGGGGGGTCTGGGCACGAGTTACCTGGTGCCCCCCCGTGGGACATCGGAGTTACCCGGTGTCCCCGTGGGACATCGGAGTTACCCGGTGGTCCCCGTGGGACATCGGCCCGTGGGACATCGGAGTTACCCGGTGTCCCCCGTGGGACGTCGGAGTTACCCGGTGGTCCCCGTGGGACATCGGCCCGTGGGACATCGGAGTTACCCGGTATCCCCCGTGGGACATCGGAGTTACCCGGTGGTCCCCGTGGGACATCGGCCCATAAGATGGCTCCAAGGGGTCCCTAAGACTGGGCTGGTACATAACTCCTAGGGCCCTGTTGGGGCCCTCTGAGTGCCCTCTTGGAGCCCTCTTGGGCCCCTGGTTGGCCCTAGGAGGGCCCCAAGAAGGCCCCAGGAATTATGTACCAATCCAGCGGCCGCTGGTACATAATTCCTGGGGCCCTCTTGGGGCCCTCTGAGGGCCCTCTTGGAACCCTCTTGGGCCCCTGGTTGGCCCTAATAGGGCCCCAAGAAGGCCCCAGGAATTATGTACCAACCCAGCGGCCGCTGGTACATCACTCTTGGGGCCCTCTTTGGGGCCCTCTGAGGGCCCTCTTGGAGCCCTCTTGGGGCCCGGGTTGGCCCTAAGAGGGCCCCAAGAGGGCCCCAAGAGGGCTCCAAGAGGGCCCCAGGAATTATGTACCAACCCAGCGGCCGCTGGTACATAACTCCTGAACCCTCTTGGGGCCCTCTTGGAGCCCTCTTGGGCCCCTTGTTGGCCCACATGATGGCTCCAAGAAGGCCCTAAGAGGGCCCCCAAACGGGCCCAAGAGGGGCCCAAGAGAGGCCTCAGAAACCGCTAGTAGGTGTCATCGATCAGCGCGTCTGGATGAGACCTCTCAGTGGTCTCTGGGGCGCGTCTTGGAGCCCTCTTGGGGCCCTCTGGAGCCCCCTGGGTGCTCCCAAAAAGGTTCCAAGGGACATCCGAAGGGGTGGAGGGGGAGTTGGACGGGGAGTGGAGGGGGAGGTGGAGGGGGGGCTGAGGTGGGTGGTGGAGGGGGGGGTGGAGGGGGGGTGGGGGGGTTGGTGGAGGGGGAAGGGAGAGGGAGAGGGAGAGGGGTTTGATTAGGAAACTGGAAGAGGTTTGACGA